TAAAAGCATGTGGTATTTTACTGAGATTTCCTGATATGAACGTTTTATGCTTTATTGCTCGTCACCAGTGTTGTGAAGAGCGTGAAGCGAGAAAAAGCGACAAACCCCATTTCGCTTAAAGCGAGAAGCGAGAAGCGAAGGGCTCGCTTTTTTGAAGTGAAGCGAAATTTTAAAAAATATATATATATTGCATAGACAACACATGTAATTGAAGCAAATGTTCAATACTTCAATATAAAAACTAAATAGTAGCATCAATTAAAGCACAAAATGAGCATCCTATTCTTCTACAAGATTGTCAAATTCTTGTATTCCACTATCATTATTATATTGCTCGTCATCTTCTTCAACTTCTTCTTCTTCATCAACTAGGGACAAAGTAGCTGCCTCTTTTCCCTTCCTCTGTGAACTTGAAGTTGAGGTACTCCCTCTCAAACCATAAATCCTCTCCCCAATTCCACGCGCCTCCGCAACATCACCCCAAGTGAAATCAGAAGTTTCCTCAAATACTTCTTCATCTGCATGATCTTCCGGGACTCCAGTTAGCCATTCATTAGCATCATCGATGTTGTCCAAACTAATTGGATCAATTACATTGCGAGCGTTGTAACGACGCCTCAATGTTCTATTGTACTTAATGAATACTAGATCATTGAGACGCTTCAAGGTTAGTTTGTTCCTTTTTTTGGTATGAATCTGCAAATAATAAGTAATTAGTAAGTTTAGGACAATTGAGATATAATTTAATTATCTCAATATACTAAATCTTTCTTCTTAGTTCTTACATGTTCAAACACGCTCCAATTCCTTTCACACCCGGATGAGCTACATGTTAGACTTAGAACCTTGATGGAAAACTTTTGTAAATCCGGAGTGGAATGGCCATATTGCTTCCACCATTCAACTGTAGAAGTAGAACAAATTTTCAAAACATAATATTGATAAAGAAACAACTTATTAATTATAAAACAACATATAAGCACTCGCTCACCTGGTGACTTCGTCTTTCTTTGTCTAATCGCCATGTTTTTTTCCAAAAAGTTGCTCAGTGTTCCTATAAATACTAAATTGCTCTGTTATTTTATCTTGCACGGATTCTTCAGGTATCAACTTCTCAATACATTCATAGTATCCATTCCACAAAGGTTCATCTCCTAGAATCCTTTCTTCATTGTCATAAAACAGTTCCGGGTTCAAAACAAGTCCAGTTGCATGCAAAGGGCTATGAAGCTTACTATCCCACCTTTTATCTATGATCTCAAAGACTCTTTTGTATTTTCTTTGATCACTAAACAAGACTTGAATAGCCTCCTTTGCCCTATCTATTGCTTCGTACAGGTAGCCCATTGGTGGCCTTTGCTCCCCATCCACCAAACGAAGCACTTTAACTAAAGGACCACCAATCTTCAATGCATGAACCACATTGTTCCAGAATGAAGGAGAAAGTATAATATCTGCAGATTCTCTCCCTCGAGCTTCCCTTCCATAGGCACTGTTAGTGTACTCATCTGAAACAAACAACTTCTTCAAATTGCTTTTTTGCTCATACATCCTATGCAAAGTCAAGAAAGCAGTAGCAAATCTTGTCTTTGCGGGTTTCACCAAGCTTCTTTGTTTAGTGAATCTCTTCATCATATTCAATAACAAAGGCCTTTGAACAATATAGGAATGCACTCTAATTGCCTGATTAAAGATTGAACTAAAGGGTCTTTCCTTGAAAATGTCACCGAAGATCAAATTAATGGAATGTGCTGCACACGGAGTCCAATAAATATGCGGGTACCCAGCAGACATCAAATCGTCAGCTTTAACATTTTCATTGGCGTTGTCCGTGACAACTTGAACAACATTTTCTGCTCCAATAGAGTCTATTATACTCTTGAACAAAGAGTACATTTTGGTTGAATCAGTCGAAGAGTCGCTTGCATCAATGGACTCAAGAAACAGGCTTCCCTTAGGAGAATTCACCAAGATATTGATGATCATTTTTCCATTTCTCGCCGTCCACTTATCCATCATAATGGAACAACCAAACTTGTTCCATTTTACTTTGTGCTCCTCCACGATTTTGTTCACCTCCGCCACCTCTTTTTTTAGATATGGCCCTCTAACTTCATGATATGTTGGAGGCTTCATTCCTGGACCATATTGGCCTACGGCCTCAATAAAAGCAGAAAAAGTGTCAGTATAATTAACACAATTAAAAGGAAGACCTGCATCATACATCCACCGCGCAAACATTGTAATTGCACGATCCCTCAAAATCGTTTTGGCATCAATTTGAGGATTACCACCTTTTCCTTCCTTATCTCCAGATTTTTGCGAGAAGTAACAATCCATAGGACCTTTGGTCTTGCCAGTAGATCCACAACTAGAAGACATTGGTTGCATCCTTCCCCGCTTTTGTGATTTTGGTGGAAGCGACGAAGCATCGTCACCTTCTTCTGTTTCATCATCGTCATCAAGATTATACAGTTCTTGTTCATGAATCAGTTGAGTCTTTAACTCTCTCTTTTTATGAAGGAATGCTTTCAAATCTTCCTTCACATGCGACGGAACTTTAGGACAAGATGCGACATTTGGATCATCGCCGATTAGATGCGCTTTTTGACGATAGATTCCTCCACTTGAAATCTTGTCACAAAAAAGACATCTAATTGCCATCTTGTTGGTCTCGCAAACTCTTTCAGAGTAAGCCCAAGCCGGATCTTTCCTATCTTCTTTTGGTGCCATTAAAAGAACAACTACATAACACATAAGAAAGGCAATAAGAACTAAGAATAAACTATAAATGATATAAAAAATCATAGGAATTCTCTGATAATAACCGAAAAAATTGGGCAATAAAATTCTGGAAAAATTGGGCAGTAAAATTCTGGAAAAAATTTGCAAGCATTTCACTGCTTTTTGGACGTTTAGAAAGAAAAAGAAGAAGAAGAAGAAGAAGAAGAATGGAAATCAGAAGTTCAGAACATACCTGTTGAAGAAGAAGAAGAAGAAGAACCCTAGTTGATGATTTGAGATTCTTTCAGAAATCAAAAGTAGATGAAGAAGAAGTCGCTGCTGTTGGAAGTTGAAGAATACTAGTCGCTGTTGTTGAAGATCAGTGTTTAATCCAAAAAACTTGTTTTTAATAAAATATGGTTGGGTATTTTAATACAGAGAAGCGGACGCTTCTTCTCTTCGCTTCGCTTTCCCCGCTTCTCGCTTTTTACAGAGAAGCGGTCGCTTTTACTGACCTGGGTCGCTTCAGCAAGCTGAAGCGCTGCCTTTCACGCTTCGCCTCGCTTCTCGCTTAAAGCGATGAAGCGAGCACTTTTTTAAACACTGCTCGTCACTACTGCTCAGTCTTTATTTATTGTTGTTACTTACTGAGTTGGCGTACTCACGTTACTCCATGCACCTTGTGTGCAGATCCAGGTGTAGCTTGACACGGTAGCGGTTATTGAGTGTTCTGGTTGCAGATTTTCTTGAAGATAGCAAGGTAGCTGTTTGGCGAACGCAGCCCCTGCTCTTCTCCTTCTTATCTTCCTCTAGTTGTATTTAGCTATTTTTCGGGCTGAGTTAGCCTTGATATTGTTAGACAGATTGTAGTATATGCTCATGACTAGTGACACCCCGATGTCGGGCTTTTCTTTTCCGCACTTCTGTTTTTCTTTGATTTGAACTCTTTAAATAGAGGTTTTATGTTAAATAACTTTGAAATTATCTTTGAAATGGAAATATCGGTTTGTTTTGGAAATGAGTCGGCTTGCCTAGTTCCATGATAGGCGCCATCACGACAGAGGTTAGTTTGGGTCGTGACAAGGACAAATTTTCTCTACTTGTTGCTACTGCTTCCTTCCATCTATTTTCTGGCTGTTAATTTGCTGTTACTAACTTTCTGACCCTTGTTGTTGATATCGCTTGTTTCTACTATTTCTTTCCATCTTTCTTGAGCCGAGTGTCTATCAAAAACATCTCTATTCTCCCAGGGTAGGGGTAAGGTCGTAGACACTACCCTCCTCAGACTCCACTTGTAGGACTTCACTAGGTCTGTTGTTGTTGTTCTTGCTTGTACTGACTGACTGACATGTGTGCTTGTTTCCATAATGAGATTGACATCCGCAACCACCCTAGTATACTTCAGACTAAAAGAATACAATTGTTCTCGAGAGTAACTTACCGGACATGAACGGTATGATTTTAGTCCCTGATGTAGTTCATATGATGAGATCAAAAGCCTCACTGGACGAAACTCAACAGATTGGCCGTGCCCTCTGTTGTCAACCAAAGAGATCAATTGGCGCTGTAAAAGATGTTCAAATGCCTGGAAAGAAAGTAAATATCTGTCAGTATAACTTTAAAGATCCAAAGTTGAACATTAGACAAAAAATATTTGTATTTAAGTCCTTGCTATACACACCCGAAGGCATACATTCCGTGCATAATAATCACTTGTTTGGAACGAATCATGTACGCTTTTGTACTCTGGAAGGCATGATAACATGGTCAGTCGCATAACATTCACACTATTAACATAAGAAGGGAGCATGTAATAGTCAAACCTTTCATTACTGAATTGAAGTTGGTCGTCTCTTGCTCTTTGACTTCCAACCTCCTCAAGCAAACAAGAATATATAGCTCTAAAATGGAGCAATCTGCATCAACAAATAGAAAATCACATTGTTTTCAGTTTGATTCTTCTCGGTAGTGGCCTAGCTGTGGAGAGTATCAATATTATAAAATGGTTTGTGAGTGACTCACACCGTATATAAAAAGGTCGCAAAAGAAAAAATATTTAATGAGAACAGGGGCGAAGTTCTACAAAAGAACTCCGTTCGATTATTGTCTATATATAAGAGGACATCATATGAAAAACCTAAACTATTATTTGTGAGCGACTCACACCATATCTCCAACAGTATGTACTATTGGGGCCTAATCAAATTTCCACGCAAGTTTACGACTATTCTGTCACAGAAGAGAAGAAGAGTGAGAGAAGATATGGGAATAGCTGAAGAAGTCGAGTGTCGAAGGAAAGTTAAGAGGAAGTGACGTGGAAAAGAAGGTGAGGAGTCCGAACTATTTTAGCTCTACCCCTAAACTTTCCAGAAGAAGCTAGCCAACATTCATCACTCAACACAGAATACATAATGACATACCTTTCAAGGCTTCCAACTTGGGTTGCCGTTGAATACTTGAGAGTGCTGTCTTAAAGTTATCAAGTGATAAAAATCCAGATTTTGCATCCATATGGCACACAGCAGCAAACCTAATGAAAATCATCACACAATGAGTTTTCATTAAAAGAACAGATGTTTGATAAAGCGCTGTGAATGCAGCAAATAGGTAGTTGAACGATAGGTAGACTTACAGAAATCTCAATAGATGGTTCAAAGTTGAATCAGAATCGCATAATGACGTAATGATGTCTTTGAATTTGTCATCCGACAAAGTATTCTAATAAATATTAAGGATAATTTAATATCTGCTAGCAAAATACTGATTGCGATGCGTAAAATTATAGCAAATTTGATGCTTGTTTTTATGTCTAACTTAAAAGAGGGGTTTCCAAAAGGAAATGAACTATTTTAAACCTTGGCTTACAAGAGGACAAGTATTTGGAGTATCTAGGCTTAGCACAAATGAGTTGTTTCCGCTGTTCTATAGGATACCCTATACTTAGCTGAGCATTTTTGAGCCTCACTCTACTTACATCTTGTCGATTGCTCTCTCTCTCTCTCTCTCTCTCTCTCTCTCTCTCTCTCTCTCTCTCTCTCTCTCTCTCTCTCTCTCTCTTCAATTTTTCCTGGTCTTGTGTGTATCATTTAACTTTAATTCATTCCTTGACAATGAAAAGTGTAACGAGTGAAAAGGATACAAGAAGCTTTGTGTTATAGGCAGTTACATATTGAGGAGGAAGTTCTGACTCTGTTGGCAGTAGTAAAGCGTACTGCAAAATTCTGATATACAGATTGTCAGTATTAATAAAATATCTTGCAAACAGTAAATGAGGAACCAAGGCATGCAATGAGAAGTTACTTTTGCAAGTCTTCCTGCGAAGGGGGTAGAAACAACAGCTTTCTATGTGAGAAACGAGACCTTACTCTCTTCTCTAAGAGTTGATCGGCATCCTGCACAACACAAGTTTCACCACTCTTAATTTACTCATTACTTCAAAAAGTTCTCCTGTGGTAGCTATATGTAGTAAATGACTCAAATGTGCAATAATGACGAGGCAACTATTTCAATCAAATTTGATCTTGCTCATCAGCAACTCAAAACAAGATACTCAATATTTTTTTTTTTAAAAAAGGAAAAAAGAAAAAATGAAAACGAGCATGCACATTTGATTTTTAAGTCCCAAAAAAACAAAAACATCTGGACATAATGATGTTGAGGAATGTATGGTTCATAGAGAAATAGAACTTGCAACAAAAAATAATAATGCTAAAACTAAGGAACATACCAATCTGCAACTCACACCAATGACAACAGCTTGCGACGTAACAGACTGCATTGCATCTAGCAAGCTATAGAGTAATCGTTGTTTACCCTGCAAATTACAGAGACATCCATCCTTGAAAACTCGACATATTTTCTCATATTTTTCTTCACTATATGAGAATCTTACCTGTGTAAAAAGGTCAAACTCGTCCAACACAAAGATAATGGTTTTATGTGCCAACCCGCACTCCCTGATGAAATATTACAGTAGAATGAGCAAATCCACCAGGAGAAGAAAAAACGAGTACACGTTATCTTTGAAGATTAACTAACTTGAACATTCATTTTCAAAAGGAAAAGAATCTAATTTCAACATTCTCAGGCACTTTGAAAAGAGCCTATTCTCTTTTGGCAGTAAAGCAAAGAAGGAAAATACAAGCCATATAGACTCACCTTAACATGGATAATACAAACTGGGAGTTATCATCAAATGATGCCTGTTAAAGGAAAAGGAAAACACGATGACTGGTTGATGCCTTTCGTTAAAATGTAAAACGGATATCATAACCAGAATGGACAGTACCATTTTTGAGAACATCAAGTGATGTTCCATACATAATTGCCTTGCAATCTCCTGCAAGATGAAATAATATCAGCAACAACATTACGGACAAATATAACAAGGACAAAGATGTAACACTTTGTTCAAAGGGGTTAAAGATTTAGGAAGATAAAGCAGTTAAACCAGAAGTAGAAGAAGATGCAGGTGAATCCCGTATATTACTTGCGCACTTCATATTTGAATATTGCGATATATTAAAAAAATAAAGAAAATTTTTCTATGATACCCTACATATTCCATTTGAAACTAACTCTTGCTCAATCAATTTTTAGCTATCAATTTGTAAGGAATACAAATTTAGTATCAATTTAAGCACGAAACTTATAACCGATAATGGTTTCTCTTTACTTAATAGTTAACCCTTTTTATTGAAACCTTCCTGATAATTCTCTTATAAACTCAGCAAACTGCATTCTGCTGCAATATAGTCTTCTGCCTGTAATTGAGAAATCAAGAAATTTTATTGTTCCCATATCTCCATTCCACAATAAAAATAATTCTGATCTCCATTATGCTTTATATATACATGCACAATGACATATGAAATAAAGACAGTACAACAAGCATAATAGGTAAATGTGCACTTTTTTTAAAAAAAAATTAAAAAAGAAATTGGAGTGATTTGGCACTCCCTCCCTTTTTTTTTTTTTTGAGATGGATGCACTTTGTCGTCCTTTCTTCTTTCCAAACATAGGATCCATCGTTAAATTCATTAAGAAGCCTTTAGTTGCATCTTTCCTTTGGAAA